AGTCAGTCCAGTTGTTCCTTTGTATTTAATGTGTCATTTCTCAGGCGACTTTCCAAAATTTTTCTCTTTATCCTTGGCTTTTAGCAATTTGACCGTGATGTGTCCAGGTGTGGTTTTCTTCAAATTTATCCTGTTTAGAGTTTACAGAGCTTTCTGAATTTGTAATTTTATGTGTTTGACCAAAGTTGGGAAGTTTAAAGCCGATATTCAATATTTTTTTCTGTGGAGAGGCTTGGCAAGGGGAACTTTTATCTTTTACTTCCTATTCTTCTTCATTATATGAATTATTTTTCACAATAAACTTATATTTTTAAAAAAGATTTTATTTATTTATTTGATAGAGAGAGAGGGAACACAAGCAGGAGTGGGAGGGGGAGAAGCAGGGAGCCCCACGTGGGGCTTGATCCCAGGACCCTGGGCTCGTGACCTGAGTCGAAGGCAGATGCTTAACGACTGAGCCACCCAGGCGCCCCTAAAATTGTATTTTTTTAAATGATGCTTTTAAGCACTATTACTGTGCCAGAGCATAAAACTCACTGAATACTCACTGAATACACCGTTATCGCAGTATTTAACATGTTTTCTATTTAATCATGAATTGTCTTGGTAATGAATATTCAACACTGTTTAATAAAAATTCATTAATTGGAGATTCAAAAGGTTTTGAAAACAAATATACACAAAATAGTATTCTTTTCGTAATCTCAAACGTCAGACTAGGGGAGGACATAGGAGGGGGTTGTTATTAAGAGAACAGTGGCCCCTGGGTGGCTTAGTAGCTTAAGGGTCTGCCTTTGGCTCTGATCATGACCCCAGTCTCCTGGGATAGAGCCCTGCATCAGGGCTCTCATATAATATGTGTGTGACAGATTATACTTTATCGGGTGTCTTACACACAGGATATATACAATACCTTATGTTGATAAGCATCCCAGTAAAATAATACTTGTAAAATCAATTTCTAAGAAAATAAGAACATAGAAAAGCCACTTTATCAAATACCCAAATTCACATCCTAAATTCTTGGGAGTTATGGATGTGAAAATTAAAAAGTGTCACTAAAGTTCAGCAGCTTAAGATTTAGTCAGGATAAATGAAAACCAAATGCTTGCAGAATTCAAACACTTACCTACCTGTACTTGCTTGAAAAAAATAAAAATTTTAATGGAAAAATAAACTTCAATGTAAGGTGATTCATGATGCACATTAAAAGCCAAGCGCTGGAATTCACGGTGCTCGTGTAGAGAAGACTATCTATGGCTGACTCTGGATCAGAGCAATTTTCTAAGGGGCTCCAAATGCATCGACACTCCATCATTAAGAGTTCTGTCCAGAGCCAGCCAATCCCCTGACTCAGATTCTGACTGTAAGCAGCTTGGTAAAAACATAAAAGGGCCACTTACTCCTTCTCTTATGAATTCTTTGATTTTCTCCTAAAAAACAGTATTCATTTTATGTAACTTTATCAGTGATCCCTTGCTACTGCACAACTGCAAAAGAATTTACACACAAAAACATCTGTGCCCAATCCTCTAAGAATCTTCTTCATAAGTGAAAGGAGGAGCCCTTACATTGCTATGAAAATCTTCTGTAAGTACTAATTCATGTAAAGAGAAGAGCTCCATAAGAAGACACGTAAGGTTTTACTACAAATCCCCCCTCCTCGACCAAAAAAACCTCTCCCTTTCCAGGAACAGGAGTTGACACATGCCATCTGGCTTAAATGAACAGTAACTGCGCACATGTCTTTAAAGAGCATCAAAATTAATGTGCAGGCTACCCCACTGGTCAGAGGCAAAACATCAGCTCAAGAAGCCTGGAATGAAACTTTCAAAAGCTCTAATTAAAGCTTGTCACAATTAATTCAGAACAGTCACAAGTAAGATGAACAGCACCCTCATATACCAAATGCTTACGAGAACACCTGTCACCAATATGGAAATACATGAGTAATTCTTGGATGATTTCTGGTGATCCACTACAAACACAAATTAGGTAATAAAAATGCACTTTACCAGGTCTTTCTGTATGCCAAAGATTTAAAAAAAAAAAAAG